GCATATTCACAAATCCCGTTGGATAAAGCAACACGAGAACAATATAACTTCAAACTCATTGGCGGTAATGCTACAGGAACATACCAGTTCCAGACGGGATTATACGGTCTTACGGATATGCCGGCAGAGTTTCAGAAAGCAGTGGACTTAACACTTACTAACTGTAATAAAACTTATGCATATCTAGACGATATCCTAATCGCAACGCAAGGATCCATAGAGTCACACCGACAAAAACTCCAAACGGTGCTTACGAAACTCGACGATGAAAATCTCGCAATTTCCCTAGATAAGTGTAAGTTCGCATGCAAGCAAGTCGAGTGGTTAGGTTTCAACATCAGCAGTGAAAGAACAAAACCACTTACAAAGAAAACTGAAGCGATTGAAAAATATTCGCCTCCTAAATTTTTCAAACAACCTAAAAGTTTCATGGGTTCAATACATCACCTTACAAGATACATACATAATTTAGCACAAACAGCGGCAGCCCTACGGCCTCTACTAAAAAACACTGAAAAACAGAACAACCGAAAAAAACGCAGAATTTTCAGAACAAAACGTAGCTTTCAAAAACATTTTACAACTGGTAGCTAAAATAACACAAAATAAACATTTTGATCATTATTTAGATACGCGCATTGTCTGCGATCCATCTAACACAGGGCTAGGAAAAGCCTTAGAACAGCACTCAGCAGAGGGTTGGGTGGCTATAGCATACGCGTCACGGTTTTTAAACTCCCTTGAGGAAAATTATTCAGTCAACGAACTAGAACTATTAGGGGTCGTATGAGCAATTGAACACTTCAAATACTATCTATACGGCAAAAGTTTTACCGTCATCACCGACCGTCAAGCTTTAATCAGCGCTTTAAACGCAAGCGAACGATCAAAGACAAGTCGAAGCCGACTCACCTGCTGGATAGATAGATTAAAACCATTTCATTTTGATATTAAGCATCTCGCAGGGAGTAAAGTGGGACTAATAGACTACATGTCACGAAATCCGGTCGGATTACCAATACCCCCAGTGAGTACGATGAGCAATTTGTAGTGGCGTCAATTAATACACTCATAAACAACCTAGAAATGATTAACAACGTCATTCTAAACAACTTGGCCCATCAAAACAAAGCACCATATGATCTGATCAAAAAGCGCGCGGAAAATAAAGGGTTAGTAGAGGCTAGTTCAAACGCTCAATTAACAACTAAACATTCCAAACATTCCAACAGCGGTCAATTGCTTCCCAAAAACAAAATTCAGTCTAACTCAAATTCTGCGCAGAAACAGTCAACTCTCTCGCATTCAAAAATTTTCAATTGCAGCAAGTCTACGATCAACGCGATCAACTTTAAAACAATGAGCAGAAAAGAAACGAGAAATTTCGCAGGCGGATTCATTCCACCAGAGTTAAAAACAACCAAAACACGCGGTCGTGCAAAAATTTCGCGTGACTGGCAAAACGCATCCGACCTGGAAGAAAGTCTCTCCTACCCAAGGTGGCACAAGCGACCACCAACCAAGGGAAAGCAAATGAAAAAGTCACCGACAGCATCCACTTCAACCGCGGCAGCAACCGACGCAAGGGATTTGATAACAAAATGAAAACAATCAAACTTTCCGAAAATCATTTTTGGAGGCAGCTCGACATCAAAAGTCACCGTTACCAAATTCCAAATTTTTTGTCGGACAAATAATATAAAACTACTATTTGCACCAGTAGATGATCACAGCGCTATAGGGGTCGTGTAAAGAATGATTCAGACAATCAAACGTAGGTTGGCGGTAATGAAAATAGACCTGTCAAATACACCATATAAACTAGCTTCAGATGTCGTAGAAATAAAAAAAAAACACTACGAATCACACCACACGTTGTCACAAAAGTTTCTCCTTTTGAGGCGCATATGGGCAGAAAACCAAATACTCCACTATCAAATATAGCCACAAATAGCACGTCAAATAATCTCAATTGGGAGGGCGCAAAACATGCATGTTTAGATCGCAAGAATCTTACGAAGCCACCTCTGCCAGCGGAAAATATGCATGACCTACAGCGATGGTCGGAGGACGAAGTGCAAATACAGAAGAAGGAATCACCACCTAGAGCCACAAATAAATCATTACCAAGGACGCTCACTAACACACATTCACCGACACAACTAGAAACAGGTGCACATTCAAGACCTATAGAACTAGCTAAAACCAAACTTAACATAAATACCTACTGAAATGGGAGGAAGCAGTAGCGGAACATGGTAGGAAACAGGAGGTGGTAAATAGAAAGCAGCAGATACAGGATGATGGACTGAAATGCAGGGTGGAGGGGTGCGGTAGAATCTGCAAAAGCAAATCGGGCAGAGCAACACACGAGAGACGCAGTCACCGCCAGGCGGGAAAAATATTCGAGTGCCCCGGATGCAAGCGAGCCTTTCCGGAAAAAGCCCAGCTCACCAACCACTACAAAACCTGCAAAAATCGTGACGAACAAAACGACGAAATCACAACCAACAAATACACAGGTCTCAGATCTAGAGTGAAGTGCCCAGGTTGCGGTACGCCTATCACATCGAACAACCTGACCAAGCATATGACGCGACACGGATGCCAAGATCGCCGAACCCAAGGCCCCAGGGCGTAAATGGGAAACAAGACAAGACAAGACAAGGAATCACCACCTAGCGCCACAAATAAATCATTACCAAGGACGCTCACTAACACACATTCACCGACACAACTAGAAACAGGTGCACATTCAAGACCTATAGAACTAGCTAAAACCAAACTTAACATAAAATACAAGGGAGTACAAAGAACACTAGACAAAAACATTGAAAAACGAATAGAACAAGTGGCACGGAAAACTATCAGGTTAGCAACAAAAGTCAAGAATCCAAAAACGTTTGAGCAAAAATATAAGACTATAGATGGAAAAATCCAAACCTACACACCACACACTGCTTGGGTACAAACTTTTGGCAAACAACCGAGGATAGCGGTGCAGCATTTGTTCCTAATCCTGTAATATACGGACCATGCAGACCTTCTCGATTAAGCGATTATGTTGCGTATAAATCCGCACGGAGAACCGGACCTTTGTCTACGTTTTTTAGACATAGAGAACCAGCAGGCTCCACATGTTCAAGGAGGACACTAGAACGGGGCTCCCAATCAAACTATCAGGACAGGAGAAGGCATCACTGAGCAAAAGTCAAAGCAGCCCCACAAAAAGGAAAGCGACAGGAAAGAGAACTGGAGGAAAACCAACAAGAAAGCTACAAACGCCACCGGAGATGAGCCTCCAAACGGAGACTGAACAGGAAACGAACAAGAGCCCTGAGAAAGAAGATGATTCGTCGTCAACGTCGGAGGAGCCCATCTCACCGTCACCAAAGCGACAGAATCAAAAGAACACACCACCTGCAGCCGCAACGAGAAAGTCAACTAGAACCGACAGGCGACCTTAGCAACAGCACTCGGCAACCCCATCCCAATCAGCACAATACCAATCGCAAGTGCATCCAGGAAAAAGACGTTCGAAATCGACTCACCACCAGAAAAATCAGCACAAGACTCCCCAAGTTTAAAATCTCTGATACAGGAGATGGGATTTACCGGAAAACCCCCGAGTACAAGGCTTGTTTACAATTTATACAGGCTATTAGCCCAAAACACAAACTGACCACCGCAAGCGACGTAATCGATTTAACATCACCAACTGAAGCAGAAGACGAAACCATGGAAAGCAATGACATATTGTTCGTGAATACGAAGGACACCGAGATGAAAGAAATGGAAGACAAACAGCCACAAAATGACGAAGAGCACGGAACAATGGACGACAACAGATAATACCACGGACCCAAGAGAAAAATAAACAGTCGGAACAAAACAGTCCCACGGTGACTAAAAACTCAATTAAACTTTATCATTTTTCCCGAGGAGGGGGAATGTCATCCGGCATGGATAGATAAAACTCCATATAAAACTTATTTTGTATTTATTCATCATTTATGTTTTGATATTGTGTAACGTTAATGTGTACTGGTCGATTGACCTTGATAGCGAGGACGAGAACGGCGGTCAAAGTGAACTACGGTTCAGAGAAGAATTAACGTTAACATTAATTAGTTCTTTTAACTTCTCTCTCTCTCTCTCGCGTCTGAGATTATCTATCAAAACGGATTCAGGAATAAGCAAATCATACCTTGAGGACTTAGCGGTATGACAGACCGCACTCCGTTTTGTTCATTATTTGCTGTCAATGTCAAACCGAATGCGCGAAACTGTTAATCGAAGCTCAGTATTCAAAAAAGCGAAAGAAATAAGCAGAAAATTATGTTAGTTTTCGGCAGTTTATAGGGAATTCATTGGTTGCAAATTTTGACCAATTGGTCCTTTCGCGCATGAAAATAGCAGCCGTCAATTATACATGAGCTCTGATATAAAAGCGTGCCAAAAATGCCGGAAACCTTTTTGGAAAACAAGACTTTGCCAGAAATATGTATGCCGGCTCTAAAAAAACAAGGTCAAAAAAGTTGATAAAAAAACAGTCCCCAATCTGTCACGAATTTACTCTCATCTTTTTCAAAACAAAATTTCATGCTTTCAAACCGGGGTGTTGCAAATGTGAGTACACCAACTCAGTTCTAATTGCGCTAGCAGCCGCATACTAAGCGACATGCAAGCTAATAGGCCAGTCCCGCTTTCAAACCCTCTTAAAATTATAGGGACTGACTCGGATAATTAGCTTTCTCCCCCCCACCCCCACCTCACCCTAGCGTCACTTTTTTGGTGTAACGAGTGGTTTGGTTGAAGACCAAACATGTTTGTCGTGGACTTATTAGTCTTTCATAACAATCTGACAAGGTGGTCAACAAATTTACTTGTAAAAATTTGCAGGTGGGGGGATCAAGAGCCAGATTTTTTTGTTCTCCTCAGCTCTGTAAATCTTGGTTTTCAGGGAAATTCAGGTTTTTGACAGCTTTTTTGGGTTTCAGTCGGGTTCCGGCTAACGAGGAGATGAGGAACCTGTTACACCTGGACTATGACTGGATGTGCGACTTCTTCCTAGAGTTTGTCGGGCTAGCCGAATACAGAAGGTATTCTCTTGGCCACGTGAAAAAAATTCTTTTAAAAACGGCGCCAAAAGGCCTTGAATTACGAACAAAAAGCTGTAATCTACAAAATTACTTGAATGCGGCGGGAACTGGCAGTATGAACAGTTTTTGATAGACTCTCTGTGTTAAAAAGATCTGCCCCCGAAACTCTGGTCTTTAAATTTTGGAGGGTTTATGATTTCAAATAGTTTAATGTAAATCAAAATCACCAGGACAATGTGATGAGACATTAAATTATAAAATTTTTAGAGCTCTAAGCTTATGATAAGTTGTAGTTAATAACCGATTCGTTTTTCTTTCATATAGGGGTATTTATTTAAAAAAAACGTATCGATCTGGGGTGGGGTGCTCATTGGCATTGGGCAGCGTGCAAGTGAGATGAAAGTGGGAGAGAGAGAGGGGGGAGGGGGTGTTTCTCAATTTCATCTATTTTCTCTTCTCTCTCCAGGGAGTTCCTGCGTAGCCGGGTGGACGGGGTGTTTCTCAACGGGATGAGTGCGGACGACATAGAGTACGTGATTCAGAATGAGGGCAAGAGCAGCAAGGCCACTAAGCAGTGTGCAGTCAGCATCTGGTACGGATGGCAACTCATGAAACTTCTCCGGTACGACGAAAAGGTGCGAGTTATTCGATAATTTCTAATTGATCAAGAAACTCATTAATGCTATTTTGTAGTCTAAGTTTAATAATTTTTTTTTCTATAAAATGCGATCAAATAAGACGAAAAAGACAAGAAAGATAGACATCAAAATATAGAATTAAAATTCTAGTGGATTTAAAGCTGAGAGTTCAGCTTCTCGTCAAATTTGGTCTAATTTGGTCTAAAATCGAAACATTCAGACTCTTTTTTGTTGACATAGACAAATTTTCCGAATTTGGTTTAAAGCACTACCAATAGTGCTTTAATAGAATACCACACTTGACCCGTACAAGTTTTCCCTGTGAGAGTCAAATTGGCGAAAAATTGTTTCGAAACAGATCCTAATCCGTAGTTCTTTTAAAACTCTAGAGTGGTCGGAATAGCTAGATTGGCCATTAGCTTTTGTCAAAAATCAAAAAAAACAGGATTTTTTTTAAGTTTCAGTTTTTTCCAACTTTTTGCCCAATTTCTTGAGAAGAGGAAAAAGATTCAAGTTAAGCTGTCAAAAGATCTAAAAACTGATCTTTGAACTAAATGTTGATACAAAATATTACCAAATTTAGTTACTAGCGAAAAAACGAAAACCAGTTTTTACAATATTTCATTTTCTGCATTTTTTAAAACATTTTTTGCAATATCTTTTAGTGGAGTCCTTATAACAAGTGAAAAGGTTTAACCGCTGCTCAAAGTGTTCTTCTACCTAAATCCTTTTCCTAGCTTTTAAAAATTGCATCACCCAAGATATTTCTTTCCTGTCCTCTCGTGATGAAAAGGGCTTTCTTCGCGTATCCACACGTTAGATTGAGTTCTGACTAAGATTTTGCCCAAATGTTGATTGTTTTGTCTGTAAAACTGCAGTATAACTGTTTAGTCCTCCTCTCCACTGAGTGTATCTTCAAGTTTGGGTATCTTAGTTTCAGCTTGTGCACCACGTTTTGCGTTAGGAAGATAACTGGGTTTGCCGAATCTACAGGTATCTTCATATTTACAATCATCTCCCATCCGTGTCCTGTGTTCAATAATTTCTTGGTTTCCAGTCCAGTTTAGTTAAATTTTGTCCTCACACTTAGTACTGAATAATCGTCGTCGTCACTCTGGCAGCTTTGGTTCCAGGCGTTAATTACTCCACATTTTTCTTCTTTACTGCTCCAGGAATCTTCCGACTGGACGTATTTACAATTTTCAGTATGGACAGAGTCATTTACAATATTTACACTGGGTCGTTTGGTCTTTGATTTAAATAGTTTCGCGAAGTATCCTTCATAATTACAAATTTGACAGTTGACTTCTCTGGCTGGGCAGAAATTTAGATATCCTGCTGTAAATGGGTTTCCGCAGTTCATACACATGTTACTTCTTTCGACGTTGAGGCTAGGTTCTTTCTTTACATGGTTATTTACATTAAATGATTTGAAGGTTGACCCTTTTGTCAATTTTGCCATATTTTTTTTTTAGCTTCTGGTGATTAAAATAACCTTTTTCGTCTATTAGGGCCTGATTTAAAGCTTCCGAGGGACTGATGGTTGCCGATAGCGGTTTCCGTTGGGTCTCGCTGTTTCTCATGTTGCAAATAATTATATCTCTAATCCATTCTGCTTTGTCCGACTCTCTAATATTACACGTGCTGGTCAGGTCCGTCAATGCTCCCCAGAACTGTTCGAAAAGTTTCCTGTCTCTTTGTTTCCGATTTGAAAGTTTGTACATCTCTACGGTGACATTTGGAGGTTTCTTAAAGGCTAGCTGTAAGAGGTCTCAAACTTCTTTAGAAGTGATGGACAAAGATTTTACCTAGGGTTTTCTGAGCGAATATTTTCCCCTTCATTGCTCTTGCCTAAAGATAGGATTAATCTTAACTTCTTATCTGCTTCTGCTCTTCTCAACCCGCCAAATTAATTCTTTTGACCCGCTTCTCTTCGACGGCTTCGTAGGATTTCATTGCAGTCTTATTCCATGGCTCACAACTGGCTCTCTCCGTTTCCAGCTCGCTTCCTGTACACTGTTCCAAGATGGTAATCTGGTTTTCTGCGACCTCTCGTCCACTCAGTCTGTCGATGTCCAGATTCTCCTTCGCTACAATCGCCAACTGGAATGATCGTTCCGGTGTGTTTATACATGTTGCGGCTCCATAGTGTGGTTCGGTCAGAACGCAGGAATTAATTAAACGTTCGATTCATTTTACTGCGCCATAAAAAAATGTAGGGATGAAGTATCAATATATGATCAGTCTATGTGCACTAACTCATAGATTAAAAGAATAAGAATAAGAATCTTTATATGAAAATGTCTGTTCTAAAACTAACACGAACAGTGAAGTGATCGACTTATGGTCGATTCATAGCATAGTTGGCAGGTATCTAATCAAAACCAAATTCATAAGATTAAGCAAAATGAACAACTCACAACAATCTTGACGAAATCCATGGTCTAATATCATGGTCATTGCGGAATCCATGGTCTAATATCATGGTCTTGACGGAATCTATGGTCTAGTATTATTGTCTTGACGGAATCCATGGTCTTATATCAGTACTGACGGAATTCATTTTTCAATACTTTAAAGCAACATTGGTGCGCATTTGCGCGGAACTGACCACCGAAAAATTCGAACAAATTCGAAACATACCTCGAGCACAAATTTGTGTGGGCCGAGCACAAATTCGAAACATACCTCGAGCACGGTCAAAACATACCTCGAGCACGCTCGAAACATACCTCGAGCATGGTCAAAACATACCTCGAGCACGGTCGAAACATACCTTGAGCACGGTCGAAACATATCTCGAGCCAGGTCAAAAAATACCGATTATCACGCGGTAATTTGGAGTCAAAAAGAAAAAGTTCTTTCAAACATCAACAATTTTAAAAGATTTTTGACGCAAATTGCCAATCACTATTCTATAAGATAGAAAAATAGCTCAAAAATGGTTCATTTCCACAAAGTATTTAAATTGCGAATAACTCTAATCATTTCATTCTGATTAAAGCATCAAAGATTTTACCCGAAAAGCAAAAACTATATAGTTGAAATTTGGATAACGCGTGTTGTTTGAAATTCGAAGCATAACTGAATTCGATTGCGCACGGTCGAAACATGTTTTGCTTAGGTCAAGCATGGTCGAGCTCATTTGTTTCGGTCTAGCTCAGTCAAAACATACCGAATTATTTTTGGTCGAGCACGGTGGAAACGTAGTTTTTGTTCGAGACGGTTGAAAGAATAAGTGCGCACCTAGATCCGGATTAACTGCTCAATTTGAATGAAAAAAATGTTAGTTTCTTTTAATTTTTTTGATTGAACTAAATGCGCATATACATGATACAAAAAATGATACACCACTTGATTCAAATAAACTTTTTGTTCCAACTTTCGAAGAAAGTGCAGAAATTTTATGGTTGAGGTGGTTTTTTCAGTCAATTTTTGACTTTTTATTTAAGCTTTTTTGATATAATTTTTTTACACCATCTAAAAGATATTGTTTTTCTGAGCTCAAATTAAAAAAATCTTCCCTGTGATTATTTTTCCTAAAGTTTTGAAAAATGCTAATTTGGCCAATTTGGGATAATTAACGCGCGATACATTACGTTCTTATAATACGAGAGTCAGCGGCGGATTTTCGCGTTCCAAATTGAACTTTGAAGCAAGCCATTTGGTCATGTTATTAAGATGTTGGTCTTAAAAAGGAGTTGAATCATTCAGCGTTTCGCCCTGATACATACACATGCTTTCTTATTTGTTATTTTGGTACTCGAACGTGCATGAAAAAAAAACAGTTAATAAATCTTTATTTTCCTCGGAAACAAAGAGTTAGACAAAGGGCTACAAGCTCTTAAATGAAACTAAAGCAAGATTGCTCGTATATCAAGGCGAAGTTCTTAAAGTTCCGATTGTACTTCAAGGTCAATTTGATTTTTTTTGGTTGAACAGTAGACGAAATAATTGAAAAAAAAAAATTTTTTTTTTAATTTATCCCCGTCACGCGCTAATGTGAACTACAAGGGATGTTTTTAACGTCTTAAATCCTATTAATAAGACCAAATAGCGTGCCTCCGTTCAATTTAGAACGCATTAATCCGCCACTTACTTGTGTTATAAGAACGCAATATATCGCGCGTTAATTATCCCAAAATGGTCAAATTAGCGTTTTCAAGTCCTCATAACTTTAGTTTAAAAGATTACATGTAAAATATATATATTTTTTAAACTTTCAGCTCAAGAAAACAATATTTTTTAGAGGGTATTGAAAAATTTGGTCAAAAATGCTTAGTTAAGAAACCGAAAATTGACTGATAAAAAAACGACCCGAAGCTTAAATATTCCGCACTTTCGTCGAAAGTCGGATCAACTAACTATGTTTGACTTTTTATGATCTATGTACCTACACCTTCGGTCGCAAAAAAAGAACTTTTGCTCTTGAAAACAAGAGTCTAAATTACGTAACAGCAAACTGATTATCCTTAGTTAGGTCAAACAGCTTTGAATAGATTATCTGCAATTCGCGTTCTACTTTAATAACCACGAAAATTGGGATATCTTGAATGAATTATCCCCTTTTAATAAAAATAATAAATTGTTTCCAAGTGAAATCATCAGACGTACAGCAAAAGGGGGACTTGTTACTATAGGTACACTATTCGAATATGCTTAATCGTTGAACTAGTTCCTTAAGTGAGGCGATTAGATTATAGGTACCGAAGAGGAGGGGGTATGTTAAATAGATCCAAAAAATGGAACTTCTAGTTTAGTTTGGTCAATTACTCGCGCTGATCAATGATCCATGTTTTCATTTCAGACTCTGAAGAAACGGATGTTGTCGTGTAGAAATTGGGACAGTGACCCCATAGTTTGGAGCAATGACCGCTTCTTCGAGTACCTCAAGCAACAGAACTTCGAGGCAGAGGCCAAAAACCTCAACGGACTAGGCATCCACGGCGCCCTTTTGGTATGATTTAAAAAAATAATCAGAAAAAATTGTTTCATGAACTTTTTTCATCAAAATACCTAAATATTTATGACATGCTTAACTAAAATAACTAAGACGGCGAAACAGGGGCGGATCTAGAATTTTCTCGAGAAAGGATTTAATTTTTTTTCTAGTTCGACCAAATTGATTTTCCTAGCTTTCCCAAAGCATTAAACAGACCCTGCTTCGGTCAAACTTTCTGCGCCGCAGGCAAAATTTTGAAAAAATGCCAAAAAAAAAGGCATTTCTTGGCACTTTTTGGAAAATTTTAAGCAAAAATTCGCGCTTTTTCGGCGCTCGCTCCCCACTCAAAATTAGTATATATTGGCGCCATTTTTTAGGGTCCGTCATCAAATATGGATATCTCAAAAAAAAATAAAGGGTCGGCAGGGGGTCGAATCTCTGAGAAGATGAAACGTGCGCCCCCCCCCCCCCCCCCACCCCCCACCAAATTCGCCCTTGCGGCTAAACTAATTACCACAATTTAGCGCAAGTATCTGAAACGCTAGGCTGTTTTTGATAAGATAATGAGGGCGAATTTTAAAGAGTCAAAAACTTTTTTAAAGAGTTTTTGTATACATTATAGATGTCAAACTGAGCCGATATTGTAGATTTTATTCTGAAAATTGGACTTATAATAAAGTCTGATCTGTTTGTTTGCAATTTGATGTTCCAATGCAATATCGAAACTTATTATTCTTTCTATTAAATTTGCTTTTCAAGCAACGTTTGTAGTTTTTCGTTATTTTATCGACAGGTGCTTTCAAAGTCGTTCACGATTGAGAAGTTGTTTGACAAAATGAAGCTGAACAACTCGAAGCAGTACAGTAGAGCACGTGAAAACTTGTACAGGAAGCTGAACAATTTGCTATCAAGTCCAAGGTGAGTCATCGCCAACCAGTGCTTAAAGTTTTTTCATGAGCAATCATCATCATCATCATCATCATCATCATCATCATCATCACCATCATGGTTAAACTCTCAAATTTTTGAATGTTTGCGAACTTGTCCGAAAACAAACGAAACCAAAAGATTTCTCATTTAGAAGAACCAGTAGGTTGTTTGTCAAAATTTCGCAGAAACTCTCAATTTTTCACCCTTAAAAGGAAACTTTGATAATTTCACAAAACATCTTGACAACATCATATGAAAACATAGCATTTTCTATGTGGCTAGATGGTTTCTACCTAGAAAAACGGTGTTTGAAAATTTTAAAGGTGCTCTTCTGTCTTATAATAAGACAGAAGAGCACCTTTAAAATTTTCAAACACCGTTTTTCTAGGTAGAAACCATCTAGCCACATAGAAAATGCTATGTTTTCATATGATCTTGCCACAGGCTTTAGTAGTTTGACATAGTCCTCGACGTTTCGTTTCAGGGAAATATCTGTAATCGTGCGGTAAATTTCCGGTTTAATTTCCGATCTATGCTCTTCTACTATTGAAAGCAAAGTAGGCCAGCAATTCAAATAAGAATTTAAAGTATCGCAAACACTGTTCCAGCGAACGTCGGTCGGCAACTTCATTTTGTTCGACCCCTTCTCCTTCAACCACCCATGGGGTTTGTGAGTAAATTTGAAATATTTAACAACTGACTTTACGAGATCAACAACATTGGGAATTTTTAAGTCGCCAGCCAACAAATTTAGTAAATGGGCGCTTTCTGAACCTTCTTCGGAATGCCGCTGCCCTGGTCTTGATCGTCATTGCATACTTCACGATGCTTCAAAAGCCGCGAAACGATACCCTGGAGTCCTTTGCCGCACCGTTTGCACGTAGCCCAGTTTCCTTTGTTTCCCTCCTGTAAATTAAAATATAGAAATTAGGAACATGGAAATAAATGGAATTAGAAATACTTGGTATAAAATTTGATTTATTAATGTGATAGTTGAATTAAGAATTAAAACATACCTTGGTTGATTTAGTAAAATGATCCCACACGGAGTTTGCGTTACGTCCTGGTCCAGGCATGTTAAGATTAGTCACGAAAATAACACAAATCTGAAAGAGAGCACGCTGAACAATGTATTAAATTGTAATTTAACGTGTATTCAAATTGCTGTCTCAACCGCTAGAGGGATTGATGCTTCCGCTTAATATAAAAACGAGAAATACAAAATTTCAATTTACACTAGAAATAAATCAACCATAAAGGCTTTGATTTAAATCTTGATTTAAATCGGATTTTTACTGTTGATTTAAATCAATTGATTTAAATCAGCCAACACTGGTCTTATTAGGGCTTATCTGAATAACAAAGAACTAATTTTGGCTCCACACGAAACATTCTTTTTAGTTCTTAGTTCTTTTGTGTAAAAAATTGAGTCTGAACTACGTTATACGTAAAAAAAGGTACATTTTTGCATGCAACTTTTTTTCTAAAAATGTTTTTGTATAAGTTTGCTGTTTTCTTGGTTTTCCTGGCAAGGTTCCTGAATGGTCCGTGGCAGGAAATCCAAGTTTTCCGCTGGCTATGTAACCCAGGTTAAATCAATTGCGTCGAAACCTTAAATATCATTACCGCGCCAAAGTCTGGATCTAGCAGCGTCCTGGCTATGTTTCCCGTGGCTATGTTAAATCAATGGCGTCAAAGTTTTAAATATCATTACCGCGCCAAACTCTGGACTTAGTCGAGTTTTCTATAAACGGCGCTAATTTCATAAGGGCGGTCCAAGACCCCGGGTTGACCAAAAGTACTTGTCTTACAATTTTCATATATTTTCACACATTTTCGTTCAACTCCATAAGTATAGAAAATTGTGAGAAAACGATAATCATTTTTTCATAAATGGAAATTGTATGAAAACCAGTTTTACTTGAAGAAATTTTGAAGTTTCGCTTCGATTTATGTTGTCCGAAAACACAAGAACAAAGGTTTTTTCTCAGACTAAATTTCACTCAGAATGATAACTAGAAAATGTATCTTTTTCGATATGGCTGGAAAATGTTAACTCCAAAAAAATCTTGGCGCTTGAAAATTTTCAAAGTTTTCAAAATTTCATCTTCTTAACAACAATAAAAAAACAAATATTAGCAAAATTTTGCATAATTTACCAATTTAAGTGTTTTGTTCACTTGATTGGCTTTCTTGGGATACAATTTTTTGGCCTTTTTTGCAATTCGGCCCCCTTTTTCAAAATTTTCCCAGCTTCTAGATTTTCTGTTCATTTTTGATTTTTTTTTGTAATCTACGCTTTGCTTCTGTGCCATTTAAATAAATATACAACTGTTACTCTGGTCATTTTTCAAAACGTGGGATCAAATTTATTAAAAACTCAAAACAAAAATCCTGAAAAGACCTTCTCATCAGCAAATATTTTGAAACAAAATTTAGGGCGGACTCTAATTGCCATGAGCACCATTTTAGCTGAAAATTTCGCTCCACAAAAGTATTTAATTAGTGCCATTTTAGTAGTAACTATTGACACATAGTTTTTTCTTTTGGTTTATGATTTTTAGCTTCTATTCAAATTAATGATTTGAGTTTTTCAAAAAACTTTGTTTTTGGGATTTTATTTAATTTCGTTTTTCGTTTTTTTATTATTTTTTTTTAGGTTTTCCTTTTATCTGTTTATCGAAATAGGTATTATGGGTTCATGTTTTTTGAATGCTTCTGATTGCTTCTAATTTTTTGATTGCTTCTGATTTTTTGTACCGCAAATAGTGCGAAGCTACAATTTGCTTCTGTGTCATTTAAGTAAATCTACCGTTAATAATCTTTTCATATTTTCAAAGCCTGTCGACAAATTTAATAAAACTCGAAAAAAAATTTTCAATGTTGACTCTTGCCTAACAGTATCATGAAAATATCGAAAATTCATTTTTAGCTTCAAAGAGAAATAGGATTAGCTTAAAAGGTTTTTTTCATGTTTTTTTTCTGACATATGTTGCAACCAACTTGGCTTCAAACAAAAGTATCCTTTTCAAGGCGGTTTCCAATTTTTTCGCGAGACAGTTTCATTATTGATTCAGAAGTAGTAATTATGGGAACACTGCAAGGTTTGAACTAGAGTTTTCCACTGTAATTTAGTTCTTAAATACTTACGATTAATCTCTTAAAGCCACGGTAAATAATTTACAAAATAAATAGAAAACGTTTTCTTGGCACAAACAGTACTTTCTTCGAAAATATTTAAAATTTATACCATGAATTTAGCAGCATGAAATTTGTTTCTATCATTAATTACTATTTACTTATATAAGTTCTGAAATAGAAAAAAAACAATAAGGATGTACGTGGAAAACAGTTTTGAAATTCCTATGACAATATTTGTTTTGCAGGCAACAGGCCATGGAACGTTTGGAAGCCCTGCAAAACCAGCAGTCGGGCCAAGGTGCCAAAGACTCGTCCAAGAGCAGAAGTGTGCCGGCGCTACTCGGATATGCAACGAGAGGAACACTAACTAACTAGCTTATTAATTAACTTATCATCACTCCTATCTAAGCATAGTCCGGGCTGACAATTTCTGGCAAAGCTAATCAAGATTTCGTTCTTTCAAATTGTCGTTTTGAAACAATGAACCTACAAAAACATTTGTTTAGATATATTGTAAGGATAATTTATTTGAAATGTCCAAATTTTCCATATATGTAAACCCAAGTTGAGAGAAAAAACGTTTGAAATTTCCAAATTTATTCGTTTTGTCCGATTTTTTTTTTTTCAAATCAGTACCGTAAACAGGGGCACAAGAGCGGTTCGCCGTGATGAGCTGTACTGCTCTTGTGCTGGTCCTTTCCCCCGTGGATAAATGGTCTTAATCGTAAATAAGCAAGTGATGTTATAAAAAAGGCGTAAAAAAACTTGAAAATTTTGCACTTGAAATAACACATTGTTAATTATTTTTGCCAAAAATTGCTTCTCCGATCTTGCAGACTCGACTTTGAAGATTTCTTTAATCGTATCCCCTCAATTCTGTGTATTGTTCAATTGAAAGTTATTTGTTTTAGTATTGAAATTAAAGAAACTGGCAATTACTAATGAATTTACGTTTTGAGTTTTGTTTCCTTTTTTTTCTGTTCCGACTTTTGAAGAACGTATCAAAATATTTATGCTCGGGATGGTTTTTTAATTCAGACTAATTTGGGCGATCAAAATAAGATGCTGGCTTGAAATCAAATACAAAAGGATTTCACCTGCAATTCTAATTGCTGAAACGCGGGGATAAAAAACTGCAACAAGTAAAATATTTTGTGCTAAAAATATGCGGGCTTTGAAGATTTTATATGTGATGCTGTTTGTGAGTCAAAATATTCCGCCCTCCAAACGATCCAAATTGAGTTGAGGTAAGCTAATTGATCAAATTTTTTCCACTCATATTTTAAAATTAGTTTTAATCTTTCATTTTGGCTGTTATGGGACAAAAAACAAACTGTTGAAAATTTATGTTTATCAGAATCTTCTTCATCAGAATTGCTTAAGACCCTTTACAGAGCAGTCAGTTTTTTCCCTGATTATGAGCAGTCTTATTTGGCTCACTCAAAGTTTTTTGATCGTAGGCTGTTATTCATTTGGTTTGGAAAAATTCGATTTAATGGTAAAATCACCTCTACCAACAGGCCATTGGACCAATGGACCAAACAAAATCATAGCTCAATTCAATTTGGACCAATGGACCAAACAAAATCAAACCTCAATTCAATTTGGAACTAAAGAGATGATTTAATTTAAATCAATCAACAATTGAAGTTTCAAACGCATTTTACTCAAATTGGGTTAGAGTTAGACAAAAAGTGAAGAAAAAAAACTGTTTAAACTCTCATAAAATTTTACGATGTAATTCATTTTTTATACGTCGCAACCAAAATTTTACGTGAAAAAAAAAAGAATCGGGACAAAACAAATTTCAAATAATTTACTCAAATTTTTGGAAGTTTTATCTCCTAGAAATTTGATGGGTTGTGTAAGAAGCTTGTTTTGATATACTTTTCTCATCATTTAACTTGGTACTTTCAGTGTAATACTTGATTAATTAGAAAAAGACAAAATGACCCATTTTGTGGAAAAAATTTGGTTAAGAATGCGCTTTTCTCAAATTGGGTTGACTTTAGACAAAAAATGATATTGAAAAAACTAGCTGAAAATTTCAGCAAAATTGTTATGGTGCAATTTATGTTGCAAAAATTGGGTGGAAAATCTAAACCTTAAAATAGATCATTTTCGGCTTCTTTTAGTCAATCAAATATTACGCCGAAAAGTTTTGTATTACGCCAAAAAGTATTATCTGAAATCAATCTAATTTGAGAAAAAGCTATTTGAATTCTGAAATTTCATTCGTTTTGTCCGGATATCGGCACTGTATTTCTAAGATGGACTAGGATCTACTTAACACTCGCCCTCCCTGTGAGTTTTACTAAAAATTTGACAGCTCTATAATTAAAAGCAGCAAATTAGCACTAAAGCGTACTATGTAAGTTTCGAGCTTTACTGTATTTAAATGGTCAAAAATTCGCCTAATTTAACCTACTTAACAACTGCCCCCGCCCCCTTGAAAAGGTGGGATATTGATAGGTAGATGAATAGATTAATATTCCGAATACGATTAGTAGCACGAAATATATCGCGCGTAAATTATCACAAGTTGGATTTCCAATTACTTAAAACAAAAATCTGGATATTTCACCTGTCTCTTAAAGTCTCTCACCTGTTGGAAATAATTTTTGGTTTCAAAATCCATTTAAAAAAATTTTTTTTTCAATTTTTTCAATTAAAGCGCAAACCGATTTAATTTTCGGCGTTCAATTAATTCAAATAGTTAAAAATTAACCAATTTGCATTCTTGTTAATCAGTTCAAGTGAATGAGACAGGTAGATTGAGACCAATATAAAGTATTTTTGATCAAAACAGTCACTACAAAAACTACAAAACAGTACTAAGACACTTTATATTCAAACTAAATAACTTGTAAGAAAAAAAAACTATGTTTGGTGATTTTTTTTTAATTTTGAAAAAAGATTTGTTTTCAATTTGACTGGCAAGAAGAAAAAAAGGCTTTTCCAAATGCTTAAATTATATTGAAGTTCAATCTACTTTGACCGATAAGGAAAATGCGCATACAACTCAGAAAAACCACAGCTTTTTAATGCGGAGAAGATGATTGCTGTTTTTGGTACAAGTTTGTGTAAATTATCAACACATTGAGATTGTGTTGCTTAATAGAAACGAGATCTTCCGCCCCTTTTGTGACGCAAATGGCTGATTCTTAATAAATTGATCAAATTCCTCAAGATACAATTAGATGATCAACAGGTTGGAAAAGACAAACAATATTACCATCAGTGTCTAAAATTGCATCAATTTTGGAGGAATAAATCTAATTTCGTCTCTTTTCTTAACTAAACATACCATTTTATCCATAATATCTACACGTTTGGAATTATTAATATTAAATTTTTTTAGCGTGAATTTATTTCACACTTTTTTGTCCATCCGTGCTAATCAATTTTGTCTCCCATAACCTCTATTAGTTATCCCCTTTGTTCAGGGTCCGCAAAAGTCCCGCTTTACTTGGGAGGTTATAAATTCAGAGAAAAAATTACCAAGATTGTTACCAAAAATTAACTTATTGTTAAAATAGATGAAAACCAGGGTAAATATAGGCGCAAGTACAGAAATTTTGTCCAAAATTTAGCTAACAAGTACATATCTTGATTAGAGGGCATCAAAAAACCCATTTAGAAGCTGTAAATGGAAGCCTGCCTCTGCTTGTTTGCGGGAATCTGCATTTTCACCAGATTTTGTAAGCAACTTTTGCATACGAATTCAAATAGACCCAGTTATGGGCCAAAATTTGTTAGTTTATTTATAATTGCAACAATTCTTGTTCCAAATTTTATCTTACAATGCGAATCTTTTCCTCGCGAGGACTTAAAAAGTCGAGATATTGAAGTCAATGTAACGACTTTCGAAGGCAGATTGGCAAATCGAGAATTATTTCAACTTTCGATGTCGGCAAAGTATGAAGAACTGTTCATGCCGAATTACATCAAGAATTTTTTTTCTCAGTACGAAGCGCTTAAAATCGAACGACTGAAACAGCGCAGTGAATCTTCCGCCGGTTTGAGCAAACGAGAGTTTGGACTTATTCAAGCCAACCCCATGCAACAACTGCAGGACGAAAACAGAGAGAAAGATTTTGGTGTGCAGGATAATTTGGGAGGAGCTAGGGACGAAACTTCAAACAGTCCAGAAATGATCGCGGATTTTGGAGTCGGAAACCAAAATGAAGGTAATACCCTAAACGAACAAGGATAATTAAAATTTTGAAGTCTTTTTTAACGATGGATAACATTGTCAACCATTGGTCCTTGAAATTGTCGTTTTCACCTACTATAAAACTGAGACTTACCTAGCTAAGCTCTGAAAAAGATTCAGCTTGTGTAATGAGCCACCTAGACTTGTGGTTTTCTGAGTCAGTGAATCTCCCTCGCTATTTAAGTTGCAATTTCCGCTTGTTTTCTCCGCACTTGTAAAATTTAAACTCTTCTCGTAAAAATGCTTTTTAATGAGCCAAAGAAACGCTACTAGGTTGTCTTCGCGTGTAAAGCTGCTTTTGCCCAAAAAAATTGTATCTTTAAAGATCTTGCAAAAAATGGTTATCTTTAAAGGAGGTTATCTTGCAAGATCTTGCAAGATAACCTCCCTTGATCGACTAGGGTATACAGTGTGTAATGAAAAATCAATTAATGAAAAATCAAGAAATACCAACAAAAATAAGAATGCGACTAGCAAAAATAGTTCGCCTAAAAAGTATGTTAGCAAAACAAACACAAAAAAATCATTTAACTATTTTTTCTAAAAAAATTTCAGATATTTTGGATTTTTTTTTGAACAGTTCATTTATTTTACAGACCATCATCTTAGTCTCCTAACAAAAATGTCATCGGCGGAGATCCAATTTCTAAGGCATTCTCTTTTCACTCAAAATCGATTGAAAAGCAAAAGTATTTGAGTCGTTTTTCTCTAATTAAGAATTTTGTTTTTTTTTCACCACGACTCGAGTTACTACTAAAAGTTTGATAGTAATTCACTGTACTCGACCTACTCTGAAAGTTAGTCGAGATACCTGGATCTGTGTAAAAAAAACACCACACTCCGAAATGCATTTAGTTGTTTGAACCGCTTCTGAAAATTTTATGCAAAACTCCAAATTGACATCAAAAAAACTTCAGGAGTAATCTGTGAATTAGATACTGAAATTGGTGTGCCAGTAAAAAAAAGATCTTTAAACGTCACAATAAAATTTTTTCCAGTAAAGCGTGATTGAAAATGAAACTAAATCGGAGTTTTCATAGATCGTTCTTTTTAAACTTTCCCGCCTCTATTTTTTTTAAATTTTGTTTTTCAAAATTTTCACAGCTCTAGAAACAGTTTAACTTCATAGCAGTTCAAAAGGATGGGCAAACAGGACAGAAGACAAACTCTCAACGCTCGCATATCTGGAATTCACAAAATTAACCAAAGGGTTTAAAAGTAGTTAAATGAAAACCCGTTTTTGTTTAATGTGAGTTTTCATTATGAACATTCAGCGTTTCATTATAAAACAAGCAAGGGCCGTACAGAGGTACTGCAGTTGGCTAGATAGAGAAAAATTGAAGCTTCGATACATGTATACGTTTTTATGCTTTTCTGAAAATTTAAAAATAGCAAATTGGTGATTGCGAGAAGGTTCACTGATTTCAAAAAATTAGCTCTTGTTCAATGATAAACCTGTGCTAATTCAGAATTCGGATATTCAACGCTGATTAATAAAAGCTTAGTATATATCTTTTAGGGATATTTGAGTTCCGTTACAATATATGGGACCCGATCGATGAAGTTTTCTTAGATGTTCTGATGAAACCTATTTGAAAAACTTTCTAAAAAACTATAAATGCTTTTTTTTGCGCTGCAAGCAATTTTTTGCAAAAAGAGTCCAAAAGTATATTTTTAGCCACACATTTGAAGAAAAAATACCTTTTTTGGCGCGCTCTTATTTAAATTTCGCATATATTAGCAGCGCTGACATTAATATGAAAAAATTTGGGGTCAATCTTGCCAAATGTTAATCCTTTAGATGTTGAGGAGGTTGAACTCTTGAGGTCTTATCTTAATTTTACTCATGATGTCAAGCAGTTGCGGGTTTCGCATGGGGGCGGGGGAGACAGACCCCCCTCTCAGCATTTTTGGCTGATGGACCCTAAAATTTTTCTAAAGGCGCCTTTAGCGCCAATATATACTAATTTTGAGGGGGAAGAGTGTGGGCTAAACTTTGCAAAAGGGTCTAAAACGCTTTTCTCGGCCGGTTTTTTCAAAAATGCGATAAAATCAACCCCCCCTCTCGAGAAAATCTTAGATCTGACCCTGATGTTAAAAATCTTTTCCAGTGGGTGAACAAGGAAGAGTCGTGGGAAGACAGGAGGGGGCTGAAGACATGAGCGGAAGCAGAGAGGGGGAGGCGGGGCCGTGTGGGGGAGAGAAACCGATGGAACACTACGAGTGGTGTGAGAAGGACCTCAACAAGGCCAAGGACATGTTTACACATGCCACACAGATCACATGTCCAACTAAGAACCCGCGGTAAACAAGACGGCTCGTATCAGGGCGAAGCCCTCAATGTTCCGACTTCCTTTAAAGGTCTATGGATCAGTATTAACATAAAAATTAAATGCGATAAATAAAAATGATTTTTTTTTAATATGAGATTTTTTATGAAATTCAATCGCCCACACGGCATATAAAACTCAAAGTGATAAAATTCGCTCCTAGTAATGAATCAATTATGGCAAATAGGCTTTCTTCAACCAATTCGGAACGATTTCTGAGACGGATTAAATCTCTGCTAACGCGTTAATAGCGCGAAATATATTCTTTAAGCCCCCATAACTGTAATAACTGTACGAAAAATAATCACAGGTGAAATATCTTTTCAAATTTAAGCTCAAGACAACAATACTTTTCGAATGATATAAAAAAATTCCGTCAAAAAATGGATCGTTAAAAAGTCGAAGTTTGTCTGAAGAAAAAAAACCCACCCGAGCACAAATATTCCGTTTCTTTCGTATCGAAAGTCGGAACAATAACACTTAAATAAGACATTAATATTCCCGCAATATGATACACGCAACATGATTTCCGCTTTAAACTGGTTCGAAATCCGAAAAATTATATAACTTTTTTAAACAGTGACAAAACAGTTTTGAAAACTATTTTGAAATACAATTTGCGTAATATGCGTAAACCAGTTGAATTTGTGTATGTTTGTTACTCTCATACAAAGCGCAATCAGACGCCTAGCCGCCAGTCAACTCAGAAAAAGTCAAATATAGACAAATTCAAAACATCTGAGCTCTTGCTGGACACACAAAAAGGAAACATTCAATAAATCTTAAGTAATTTAGCATAAGTTGTTAGTTGTAAGATAAACTCATTTTTTTTCAGACCTGATGAACGTAACCCCGGTCATTCTTTTCACTTCTTTTTTCCGATCGCTACTTGGAATACTCACTTTGTTCACATTCAATTTGCTCACTCTGACCAATTTGGCCGTGTCTAAGTCAAAATTGATATTTCCACTCTAACTGGGCTGATGTGTTCAACTCGGTCGAACGATGCCCAATTTTTGTTGCAAATTAAGACGGTCGAACAATACTATAGTCGAATGAAGTCGAACCATGGGTCGAACAGGGTCGAATCATGAGTCGTACAGGGTCGAATCACGAGTCGAACTGGGTCGAATTATGAGTCAAACAAGGTCGAATCATGGGTCGAACAGGGTCAAATATCATGGGTCGAACATGGTCAAATCATGGGTCGAACAGCGTTAAATCATTAGTCAAACAGGGTAAATCATGAATCGCATTGGTTCGAATGATGAGAAAATTGCAAACCCCCAGAACTTTACAAAAAATAATTGAAAGTAAATATCTTTTTAAATTTGAACTCACGCAATCGGTATCTTCAATGGTGTATGAAACCTTTTTATATTGAAAACTATTATCTCGGCGAAAATTGACTGAATAACAAAACGACGCCGAGCATAAATACTCCGTTTTTTTTCGAAGGTCGGAACAATAAGGACGTAAAATCGATAGTTAATCAATAAATCAATAAAAATGATTTGGTGAAAAAAAATTGAACCAAAAAAGGGCAAAATCAAAAGACATAGCTGGTTTATAATAACTGGACAAAACGAACAAATTTTGAAAATTCAACGCGTTTTTCTCAAATTAGGTTAAGATTAGAAAAAAAATTGAGGGGAACAAAAATTGCTTAAAGTTTCGCCAAATTTAATATGGTGCAATTTTTTTTCCAAAATTCTCAACCAAAACGTTACCACAAAAATGGGTCGTTTTGGTTTTTCTCCAAAAACTTGCGCAAATTGTTGAAAAATTATTTTTTCAGCAAATACTTTGGGTTTAATTTTGTAAAAATCACATTTCTTGCCTACCAAGCAAAAATATTTTCCCTTATACAGGTTTTTGGAGACTTAACCTTTGTAGAACTTTGTTGGGCTGTTCAACAGGTTTCTTGTGATATAATTTTTTATCTGTTAACAGGGTATTAGCGTATTTCTTGGTTAATTAGAAAAACCAAAATAACCAATTTAAGCAATTTTTGTACTCTCCATTTTTTTTCCGATCTTAATCTAATTTGAGAAAAACGCTTTTGCAATTTCAAAATTTATTCGTTTTGTCCGGTTAATTTAAATCAGCACTGTATAATTAGTGACAAAAAGTTGAACAGACGGAAATACTTAAAAAGAGCAATTTTTGCATGCAAGATCGAACGTTTAGGTGACCTTGAGTCATAATTTCTGTCTGAAAAGTTAGCTTTTCCAGGCAGAAGTTTTCTGAAATAGGTCATTTGCTCTTTTTAACAAATTCAGTCTGTTCCGACCTTTTGCAACTTTCTACATGTATACTATTCATAAGACAAAATCAACTGTTCACTGACTCATCAAAGTTATGTGAGAATAAAACTTTAGAATTACCAATAACAAGATTTAAAAAAATTGCACTCCGTTATAAGATAAGAAGAGCAAAACAACACTAAATTTAATTTTGTTTATTTTTTAGGGAAAACCGGCTTTTGGAGCTGGAAGGCAAGCAAGTGAACTTCTGTGTGACTCCCTTCATCTTCAACCCGGACGGACTGAGCAACTACAACGAGTACTACGCCTGCAAACCAGCAACCACGGAGGAAATAGGCCGCTTTCTGGGCCCAGCATTTGTGGGTAGGGATAATTTTTTTTCTTACAACAAAACGCTACTACCCTCTTTTGGTCATCCAAGCTAATCACCTGTTCAATTTTTTCTTTATATAAAGAACTCATGATTTATTATTTTTATTACGTATACTCTTTCTTCAGCCCTTTTTTCCTTAAACTTTCTGTTTTTGAGATAAACTGCCGTGATGTTTTCGAAAGAAAATTATCAAAACCGACTTTTTTTCCAAATCTTTTCAGCGCGGTATCTTTCGACTTTGTGATCGACTTAAATTTGGTCCCTGACAGCGCGGATTTTTATCAGCCAAACAGCACCTTCTCGAGTTTTGATGTCTCTTTAACGTTTCCCCTTTGCAAAAGGGGCAGACTCGATATTAGGAACCATAGGTGGTTAAAGATATCTAAATTTTGTCGCAGGAGGTAGCTGGTGTCCCCTGGAGGTGGACGAGAAAGGGGTGTTCAACCCGGACGTGCACTCCTTCGAGAAGTGTGACCCCCAATACTGTGAAGGGATAGAGAGGGTGTGTCTGTCTGTCAACATGCGACTGTGTCATTTCCCCTACAAGTCTTACAAGTTGTCAGGGGCAAATGAATTGGACATTATGCCCCACTAGTGAGTAAACAGAAAAAAAACAACATGAAAACAACACCCCCCCCCCAACCGATTTTTTTGGAGTGGGGGGAGGAGAAAGAGGGAAGAGGTGTTTTTGCTTTATTACTGGTCATTTATTTGTTTGGATATTTACCATCACTTATCATTTTTTTAATTAGATAGTTCTTTTGGTCGACATGAAGAGAGATCTTTAACATGGGCCGAGAAAAGTATGAGCATATCTTACTTATTAATACAAATAAAAGAAAACACCAATGCTCCTATCAGGGTGATGCCTTGAAATTTTTGACTGCCCTTTACTGATGTAATTTTTGCTATCAAAAACGCCAATATTGACTTCCGAGCTGGATTTAGCCGTCACAACTACCGTGCGCTTAAATAAAAAACTGCCTTTTTCTCGTGCAAAAATTATCCACAATTGACCAAACTTGATGGTTTTAACAAAAACATACGAAAATCAAAACCTACAAAAATTGTTTAACAAAAGCGGGCATTTGTTTGGAGCAAACTTGTTTTGATTTTTTATCTTCTGCGCCAACTGGCCGCACAGCAACGAAACTTATTTTGAAACAAAAAAACTTGTCTTCTTGCGTTGCGTAAAGCGCAAACATTTCATAGCATGCTTTTTTAAAATCTACAATAAGGCCAAAACAATAAGGCTCAAACAATGAAATCTAATTTACAAAACTGAAAAGGTTTATTTTCTATCTAATTAGCATAGAAATTCTGAAACACATTTGCCATACTCTTGTCTAGTGAAAATAAGCAAGTTTCACTGGTTTAATTAGTTTTTCGGCTGGTGTAAAGATTTCAAATATACGTTAATTGTAGTAAGATTCAAACTTAAAATAGGATTACTTTGCTTCGCCCATGCTAAAAATAATATCTTCAAAAATAAAACCTATTAATGATTTGTTGTTTGATAATTTGAAGCTTTTTCTGTTAATTTTTTCACTCAATTGCTTGAAAGATTTATTAGATTACAACCAACTTATTGAAACAGTGTGCAAACATCAGATGTGCCAAACATCCTAAAAACAGTTTTCCTCGGGCAAACATTCGGCATTTTTTCGCTGAAAAGATCTGGTATTGGCAGAATGTTATAACGCATTGCGAGCTTGTCAACAGAGGGTAAGAATCTACGTGAAAAGTAGAGCCAATTATGGCCACAAAGCGTTGAAGCTCGCTTAGCGCGCCCACAAACAGGCGACCATAATTCGAGATTCGACTAAATTGGAATCGACTAATTAAACGATGTCTTGTGTTTGAAGATCTAACGTCATATTATAATTTAATTAATATATTAGTTCGGATGTTTGACATATCGGATACTTTCCCGAGACTCAAGGTTTTTGTTCTAAGTCAACCAGCCGATGGGTCTTCAAGCCAAACAATTTCAAGTTGAATTTCAAACTTTCCAGGCACTTAACAACACTTTATTTTGATCTTCTATCTATCTTCAGCGAAATTTCGAAAACCAAATAAGTTTCGCCCCAAAAAAGAGGTGTCAGTGAAAATACAGTCATCAAAACTGTGGTGTGTTTATTCCATCAACCAATTTTGGAAATGCATAATTTATATACTAAAAACATTTTTAAGACATCCAAAAAGATCAAATTTCTGAAAAAAGGCAATTTAGATTATAGACAATCAACAAAATTGAGTAAATAACCTAAATGTTTCTCAAACTATTCAAACTCTTGAGAGGGTGAAACTTTTTTTAGGTCGACCGAAATGATTTTTCGAGCTATCCCTGTGCACAATTTAGTCCCTAGTTTGGTCCAATTTTCTGCGCCGCAAGCAAATTTTTGCAAAAACAATCTCCAAAAAAGGCGTTTTTAGGCACTTTTTGGAAAATTTTGACCAAAAAATTGCGTTTTTTCGGCGCGCGCTCCCCCCTCAAAATTAGTATATATTGGCGCCGAAGGCGCCCTTTGAAAAATCTTAGGGTCGGTCGGCAAAAATGGATTTCTTAAAAAGTACCAAAGGGGGGATGCTTTGGGTCGCCAGGGGGTCGAATCCCCGAAGGGGGCAAAGTGTTCGGCGCCCGTCCGCCCCCTAAATCCGCCCCTGATTAGACACATTCTGCTCTTTAACGATCTTAAAAACCTTTTGCCTTATAAAATTGTTTAAAAAGCCAACAACTTATATAAAAAGTTTGGACTTTTTATTGTGAAAAATATCTATTTTTACACAACCAGAGCGCTTTGCGATATTACGAGGCTACTTGTTTTTCAATCATAGCACGCAAAACTTAGTGTAAACTTAGTGTAATGGCATTTGTGCTACAGGAAGCCTTGAGAGTTTTTTTCTGGTCTCTGACGCTCTAATAGTTAACACAGTTGATGAAATTTTAATTCATCAATTGAACCGGAATTTTTTTTGTTTCATACTGCATTGTATTGAAAAACTTATTTTGGAAAATTTTCAACTCAATTAATTTCCCAAAATTTTTGAAAAGAATAATTTATGCACCTTTTTTTTAAAACTTGCAATTTATTATCTGTTTAATTAGTGTGTTTGCCTTCAGTTTATATTTGGCGGATCTTTGCTGCATAGCATTGGAAATTTATTAACACCTGTAGCTGCTTTCTTGAAGATTGTTGTAAGCAAAATTTTAAGTGCCCGTGATGAAAACTCGAAGACGTGAGATTTTAAACCGCAATTGCGGAGGGTTTAAGCCGACTCGTAGCAAAACTTTATTATGTGAGTCTATATTTTTAACTTTTTTCTATAATTTAAGAGCTGCGTTTTCTCCTTTCCCAATTGTGTTTGCAAAGTGCAGCTTGAATTCTGCGTGAACAATTTTAATTTTAATCCGATATGCTATGTAAAGTACAAGTGACATACTTTTTGCATGAAAATGAGTATATTGTTGCAAATCAATGTGGAACGGTGGAATCAGTGGCTTAAATTTGGCATTTGTATTTTAAGTTATAGCGGTCAAGATCATCCCAATTATAATCACTCAATTTTTTTAGATCGAATGTTCGCAGAACGAATGTAATTATGATTTTGAAAGTTTCAGAGTAATGTCATTCAGTTGGTCTAAAATACTCCGAAAAAAATGTAGAATTAAAAAATTAAAACTTTTCTGGAAAAACCACCTGTCTGGAAAAACATTTTAGATTTTCCTTCAAAAATTGGAGCAAATAAAAATTTTATTACTTACTTTTTATAAAAATATTTAAATATTTATTAATTTAAAAATTTGAAGTTTGAGAACCAATTTTATTTGCGTAATACTCAACTAATTTTCTTTTTGCATAAAACAATGAGTTTTTTTCTAGCGGACACTAAAATATCTATTTATGCAAACTTTCAGACATTCCATTTTGGTTAAATTCTGATTAACAGCCGATCCGTTAAGTTTTGTGTAGTTTTAGAGGTAAGACATGAAAATCAGTAAAATCTAGTTACTCTGGTAAAATTCGAATCAAATTTTGTAATCACTTTATTCCAATTTCCAAATTTCATTCTTGTTTTTTAGGGTAGTATAATTCATCACGTTTTTGTACATACAATCCGATCTAAACTGGCATAGCTCAAAATATTATTCCAGGTGGTTTGAAACTCTAGCACAAAAAGAATTGTTTATTGTTCATTGAGAATAAGGAGGAACTTTGTATTCGTGGGTGTTACTGAAACGACATAAAAAATTTCCAAAAAAATTCTCAGTGTCGAATTAAACCGGTTTGAAATCTTTGATAGCCTCTTGGTTCGCAGTTGTAAAAAACGTTTCCAATTTTTTAAATTGTTTTAGATGTTAATACTTTTTCAAAAATTGAGTGTGTTGGTTTTATAATAACCGCTTAGTGTAAGATTGGTTGAGACATCCGTTTGTCGATCACATTCATCACTGTTTAACTATCTTCTGTTAACTGTAGGCGCTTTCACTGGTTTCAATGACTGTTTTGTGCGCTTACAGACTCAAGTTACTTTTGCTTTTGTTTCTGTTTACAAGACAATAATTGCATATAGTTGTGAAAATCAATTGGACCCTTCGTTTTTCCACTTTTAACAAAAATGAGTGAAAATTTGTAGTTTTAGTATTGTACGTATTTCGTAAAATCTGATAGTTGGATTTCAAACTATTGCTTGCAGGTCCTCGAAAATGGATTTTGGAGGCTATGAGAATAATTGAAATGATGAACCGAATCAAATGTTTTTTTTAGATCTATAAGTATGCTCTGCGTGACTAGTTGTACTGGGATGACTTTTCAGTTTATAGTTCATTCTATCCATTAGCGATAGAAATGCGTCAATTGTTTCTCGTGTTTGCCGGATATCGAACTGCCTTTGTGTGAGAAAGTCAATTTTTTGACCAGAATGGGTCACGCGGTTGTCGATTGAAATATTTCCCAATTTTTTGGCTAAAGTCTACCGGGTGTTATTTTGGCTCTTTTTCCTTTCACTTCGCACGACCATCAGTTTAATGGTGTAAGGACGAGGGTTCACAATGATAAATTTTCAACCAAATATATTTGCCCTGGCCTAAATAGTCAATTAATTTCATAACAATCGGATGGTGCAAACAAAAAATTTAGTTGTTAAAATTCTCAGGTGAGAAGAAAATTTTTTTTTGTCAATTTTTTGAATTGGGGCAATTTTTTTCAAGCAATTGGAAAAACAAGCAATTGCGAAAAAATGTTTTCGAAGCAATCATCAAATTTTGTTTCAAAGGGATAAACTAATAATTTTTTCACGGATTTCAGATAAAAATTTTTATTGATGCAGTGGCGGATGGGGGGGGGGGGGGGGGGGAGGTTTTGGATGACGGTTTTTTAAAAAAGTTGTGAAAATTTCGTCGAACTTTTTTTAGGTCGATCAAACTGAGTTTCTTGATCATTATAGAAACCCTATTTGGACATATATGTTTGCGCTGCATGCAAATTTTTGAAGCCTTTTTTGGGCAGTTTTCGAAAACGTCGACTAGAAAACCGTTTTTTTTTGCGCCCTCCCCTTTCAGAATTAGTATATATTGGCGCCTAAGGCGCCTCAATAAAAACATTAGGGTCGGTCGGCCAAAAAGGAATTTCCTAAAAAAACCAAAGGGCGTCGATGTTCTTATTATTTGAGATGATGTTTTTTAAAGAACATTGATTTAGACTGCTCTATGAAAGTGATTGGCATTGAACTGGTATTGTTTTTGGATAAAACACTCCCGACAGTAGCAAAAAATGGTTCAAATCTTTCAGCATGTCAAGAGCAGTTTTTTTCAGGCAGAATTGAGGTCCCACCCAGCGGCGGTTCTAGGATTTTCTCGAGTGGAGGGCGGATTTTCAAAAAATTTTTGAATATTTTTTTTAGGTCAAGCAAATTGATTTTCCGAGCTCTTCCGAAACATTAAAAATACTCTGTTCTAGTACAAATTTCTGCGCCGCAGACAAAATTTTGAAAAAACAGGTCAAAAAGGCGTTTTGGGCACTTTTTGGAAAACGTCGACTAAAAATTGCGGTTTTTGGCGCGCACTCTCATGTCAGATTTACTATATTTTGGCACCAAAGGCGCCTTTAAAAAATTTTTTTTTGGGTCACTCAGCCAAAAAATGATATCTCAAATAGTACAAAAGGGGACCCTTTTTGGGTCGGCAGGGGTCGAATCCGGATCCGCCCCCTCCCTAAATCCGCCCCTGGTACCACCACTCTTTTAATTAATTAGGTCCGTACTAATATTTTGCTATTTATAACAGTGCGTGTTCTGACGACAACCACCCTGGCAAATTCACATGTCCAGTGGCAGTGTCATGTCAGATAGATGATGTCTACTGCACCCCCGAGGAGGACTATTTCGACGAGGAGTGCATGTTGGGGGGTGGGGGCTGTGAGGCCATGGAGCTGGAAGACGAAAGGGAGAGGGGGGAGTTGGAGAGAGAATTGAACGAGTGAACAATTAATTAATTAATAAGGAAACTAATTTGGGTCTTTTTACTTGAAGACATGTTTTCCGCCCAAAATAACTTCATAACTAAAAAGACCCACTAATTTTATTGCATTAAAAAAATTTTCAAAAACACTTAATCAAAAAAGTGGCATTGACCCAATCAACCAAAAAATATTGACTGAAAAATTTGCAGGAGTTAAAAAAGCCAGAAATTCAGCAAAATACAATTTTTCACACGACATTTGCGAAGCGAATATATCATATTATGAAAAGAAATGTTTGCCCTTTAAGGAATTTAATTTTTTGAACTTTCACTGAGCTTTTCCAAATCAAGCTCAAACCTTAAAAAAAATATAACACATCAGTCATAACAAGGGTAGATTTAGGGGGGGGGGGGGCGGACACCTCCGGGATTCAACCCCCTCGCCAACCAAAGGGTCCCCCTTAGGTATTAATTTATGACATCCCTTTTAGGCTGAATAACCCTAAAAATTTCAATAAAGAAGCCTTCTGCACCAATATATACTAATTTTGAAGGGGAGCGCGCAGAAAGTGACCAAAAACGGCATGTTTGACCTGTTTTTTTTTCAAAATTTGCCTGCTTCGCAAAATTTTTGGACAAAATAGGGTCTTTATAATGTTCTTGGAGCGCTCGGAAAATAAATTTTCAATTTTGTCCATCTAAAAAGAGGTCGAAAAAATTTTCGAAATTTTTTTGAAAATACCCCCTCCCCCCTCAAGAAATTCCTAGATCCGCTCCTGAATCAAGAAGTTTCTCGTAGTGAAAGAAAAATTTTTTTTTCTTCTAAATTTTAGTTAAAAAAATTAGTTTGATTTTCAAATGACGGATTTATGTTCATCCATATTTGGAAAGTGCAGTATAAATGATAGCGTGGAATCAGAGCTGATTTAAGCAGGGTTGAGCACTTTGAAAACCGCATCCCCTTGTTTTAAATTACAACATCCACTTTTAATTGAAGGTTTTCTGAAAGCATTTTTGGCTCCAGTTTAAACTATCAAAATTGAGGGGTCATAGCCTGCCAATGAAGCGTTATTTTTGGTCAAATTCAATAAAAAAAATGGTTTTTAAAAGAGTCCAAAAATCAAAATGACCTGCGTAAAAACGTCCTGAAAAGTCCTGAAGGTCCTTAAAATTTTTGTAAAGTCCAGAAATTTTTATACCCGGCTCTGGTTGGAATGAATGAATCTTTGCATCCTCAATCCTCAATTAAATCTCTGTGCAGATAATATCTTGCTTGTTGTGCAGCATAAATTGTAAAATTTTGCTTTGTGAAGAATTTTAAACTGATTGGGTTCTTGATGATCCAATTTTTCTGTTCGCAAAATTAATTTTCAGGTGTATTTTGAAAAATTTTGCCGAATGAAGTATATAGTAATCTAATTTATTTTTGATAGAATTGTAGATAACTAGAGTTTTATTGGCTGTGGTATGAAATATAACCTTGGTTTATCTTTCGTTATATTTTGCTTAGAGAAACAGATCCATGTTATAATTCCAACTTTTGATAGGGAAAACATTTTGCTCGGGGTGATTTTTTGGTCATTCAGTTTTCGGCAATGGAAATAATAGTTTTTAACAAACAATTTGTTTTAAGCCATTTAACCTCTAATCATCTTTTGCAAAGTTTTGGGCATTTGAAAATTGCCAACTTGGCCATGCTCTGGGCTAAATTATGCGGGCTTTGAAGAGTTTAATCATTATGCTTGAAACGTAACGCGAACAAATGTTTTTGTTGCAAACTATCCTGCTCAGCAAAACTGTTTGTATTGAGGCTAGCTAAGCTAATCGGTCGTATTAAATTTGTTGCTTGAATTTTCACATTTGATTTCTATTTTTGTCAAAAATTGATAGTTCAACATGCTCTTTTCCCAAAAACTAAACGATATGGATTAAGGGGCAAACAGAACATTCAGGGCTTTGCTTTGATATACCAGCAGTCTTGTTCAAATCAAGGAGGTAAAATTTGTGCAAAGAGTTATTTTATAAATTTGCATTTTGGGCTACTTAGTTTAGTTTTTGCATGCTTTGTATAAAAAGATTGCTCATATCAAGGCGAAGCTTTGAATGTTCTTACTACCTTGTAACGTCTATAAAGCAGTGTTTCTATTCAGAAAATGATGATTTTTTTTTTTCAAAAAAATTGAATCTTTTGAGTTTTTTAAATCATCTTACTACTCGCCATATAAAGTACAATTTGAAGGATTTCGCTCCTAGTAACATAGAAATTAAGACAATTATCCTGTATTTTGGGACGATTTTTGAGAAGTAATAAATCTACGCTTACGCTTTAATAGCGCGAAATTTATCATACTGGCAATCTTTAAACCCTCAAAACAAAAACTGATCACAGTAGTTGTAAAGTCGTTTGAAATTTTAGCTCAGGACAATTCCTTTCAAATTTCCTAATTAAATAGTCGAGTTTTGTCTGCAGAAAAAAAAAGACACCCCGAGCACAAACTTTCCGTCAATTTCTTCGAAAGTCGGATGAACAAGCGGCAAAAGGATAATGGCTACAAAAGGGAAAAAAATTGCGAAAAAAAAACAGTTCCTGAAAGAGGCTGAAAATCAATATGACCAATGTAAAAATGTCCTGAAAAGTCCTGGAAGTCCTTGAAGTTTTTTGAAAGTCCTGAATTTTTTTATATCCGGCTCTGGTTGGAATGAATGAATCTTCGCATCATCAAATGAATATCTGTGCAAATAACATCTTGCTTGTTTTGCAGCATAAATGGTAAATTTTTGCATTGAGATAAGTTAAACTGATAGGGTTTTTATTGATCCAGTTTTCCTGATCTCAGTTAAAATACTTTTTAAATCTGAGCGCAGGACAACAAAATTTCCATCTGAAAAATTATAAATTCCGCCAAAAGTTCCTAGTTAAAATTTCCAGTTTTGTCTGGAGAAATAAATAACCCAAACACAAATATTCCGTCACTATCTTCGAAAGTCGGAACAACAAGCGGCAAATGGATAATGGCGTACCGAAATTTAGAACACAAAAATTAGCCAATCAAAAAAACTGCAAAACACTCAGGTGAAGTTTGCGCAGAGATCAAATGCGGTAAAATCTTGTCGAGACACGGTTGACGCGAAAGTGAGGCATGGCAAGTCATCATTTTAGAACAATTTTATCAAAGTTTTTAAAATTAGCACAATTGCCAATCAAAAAATCACGCAAGTTTGCATCTTTCAAAACTAAACATTGGCAATTTGGTCGTATTTTTTGGCGTTTAAAAAAAATATATTTTTTCTGTATCGCTTGTATATTGGCCCAATTTTTTGTCTCTTGGATTGAACTAGTCAGATCGAATCTCTAGCAAATACCTTTTCAAAATTAGTTACCAAACATAGAGGCATGGAATCCAGGAGTTTAAAATCAACATTACGCGCAAAATGACACAAAGGCTCAGATCAAGTAATCGGGCTGACTCGTTTCGCCCGCTTGCCAGTTCCGAATCAGAAAATGTATATGAAAAGATTTTGGTGGTTATCGAAAAGCGCCCATCCTACGCCACAAGAAGGTAGTTTTGATTTAAATTTTATTTACTTTGATTCTGTACAAACTTTTCAAAAAATAAAAGCTCTTTCATGATTTTGGCTGTTTGATCCCTTTCTATAATTTGATCTCTCTATCAGGGGCGGATCAAGGATTTTCTTGAGGGAGGGGCGGATTTTCAGGGGCGGATTTGGTCGCCCTTTTTTTTAGGTCGACCAAATTGGTTTTCCGAGCTCTCCCAGAGCACTAAAAGGCCCTGTTTTGGCCAAACTTTCTGCGCCGCTTGCGTTTTTTTTTGGCGCGCGCTCCCCCTTAAGTATCTTTTTGGCGCGCGCTCCCCCCTTACGATAATTACATATTGGCGCCACAGGTGCCTTTGGAAAAATTTTAGGGTCCGTCAGCCAAAAATGGATATATGAAAATAATTCAAAGGGGGACCCTTTGGGTCGGCTGGGGATAGAATCCCTGAGGGGGGAGAGAGAAAAAGCGTCCGCCCCCCCTAAATCTGGCCCTGCTCTCTATCATTCGAGTTGCCACCCAGTTAAGGCGGCTGAGAAACAATTCCAAATTGATTGAAATTAGACCATAATCATCTAATAATTGTCCTATTAACGCTTACTAGAAGATAATAAAATAGTATAGGGGTAGAATTATGAATGGTAAATGGAAACAGAGTCAGATTATCAAGGTATTTGATTTTTTTGAACGTTGGTGAACCGCTCTTTCAACGAAATTTTCGGTCTGAACCAAAAAAATTATAAGATTGTCAATAACAAGAACTAAAAATAAATTAAATTTTCCCAAGAGATTGGAAGAATTAATGAATAACAAGAACCAAAATTAAGTTAATTTTCCCAGGAGATTGAAAGAATTAATAAATAACAAGAACCAAAATTAACTTAATTTTCCCTAGAGATTGGAAGAATTAATAAGAAGATTAACATTAAAAGAACTTTTTCTTCAATTCTTAACGAGCGCAGTTATTTACAAAATCTTGGAGATTCAAACAGGGGCGGATATAGGGGGGTGATATAGGGGAGGGGGGAGGGCGGGAGGGCGGGTCCCTTTGTACTATTTTGAGATATCCATTTTTGGTGACGGACCCTAAAAATTTTCTAAAGGCGCCTGTGGCGCCAATATATACTAAATTTGAGGGAGGGGGGGAGCACGCCGACAAAGCTCAATTTTTTGGTCACTTTTCAAAGAAAGTGCCGAAAAACGCCTTTATTGGCCTATTTTTTCAAAAATTTGCATGAGGCGAACAAAAAGTGAACAAAGCAAGGTCTTTTTAGTGCTTTGGGAGAGCTGGAAAAATCAATTTGATCGACCTAAGTCCGCCCCTGGATATATAGAATATGAGACTTAAATTATCTCCGGTACAAAACTTATCAAATTGAAAACTTAGTTAGTTAAGATATTTTCGTTGAAAATGAAATTTCATTATTTCTCAATTTTTATGATTCGAGGATCATTGTTTAAAAGTGATAATCATGAACTTGGATGATCGAGGATATGTGACATAATTTCAAGATATCTGAGTTTTCGTTGCCCTTTAATTTCAGCTATAATCAGAATTTGAAATGGATAGCAGCTCCTTCCGATGCATCACAGAA